ACACATACACACACATACACAACTCACCAAAGAAGGGTTTTCTGTACTGTCCCCTGTGGATTGACCATGCACTGTCTCAGCTGCAGCGTATTATGGTTGAAGATTTGGCCGAATTTCTCCAGATTGAACACCACTTCTCCTGGAGGCACTTCCCTGATTGCGCTGGACATCAATGAGTAGCGCTGCAGGAATTCCCTAAGAAAAAAACACATTTACAACAGGACATAAACCATGCAGATCACATTTAATTACTGTGCAATGACTCTGATGCAGTGCCAAGGTGCAATGTGCTTAAATGTGCTACATGTCTTACTGGTGTTCTGAAGAGATGCCCTCCTCACGGTTCTCCTCAGCCTCTTCATATTCAGCTATTCTCAACAAGTCCTCTTTACATGCAGTTAGAAGTTGTGTCTCAATCTCTTTAGCTCTGATGGATAAAAAGAATGTGAAGAACGTTAGCTCCTCTCGTGCAGCTACTGCAGCTCAAAAAGGTAACGTGAGTGAAGTTTTCTGAATATTATACTTTTTATTGGTGTTTATTTCCTTCAGCATCTGATCGAGGTTGTTCTTGTAGATGCCGGACTTCGCGGTGGAAGGCAATGGCTGCTGTGGGAAACGCAACAGAAGACAATTAAGATCCAAACAAGCTCAGCAAGTTGATTATGACGGATTCATAACTTCACGTACGATAAAAATAAGCCATGTGGAGCTTACAGTTTTTGACTGGCAGCTGTGATGTCGAGGTGTGCTAGGCTCTGAGAAGGCTCCCTTCTCCGGTGTGTCTGGAGGCTTGGTAACACACTCCATCATCTCCTGCAAGGAAAGAAGCTGCTCCTCCTCACTACTATGGGAGCTCTGGGTTAGATCCAAATCCACAGCAAAGCTCAGGCCTAGGTCAAGCTCCACATCTATAGGATCATCTTCTTTCACTTGCTTTTTACCCCCTTCATTTGCCTTCCTCTCCGGCAGTGGAGACTGACGACAATGAAATGTAAGAGTTTGCTCGGAGGCAGCGGTGTCAGTCTTTAAAGCGCATGATGTCACATTGTTGGGGAGGAAAGATGCACGTTTATCATCAGATTTAACACTCTCGTCCTTAAGCTCCCTGCCTGAAGAAGTCAAGTTTTGGAGTTCAGCATCTTTGGGGCAAAAAGATCTTAGGTTTTCAAGTTTTACCCGCTCTAAAGCTACAGTTGGCAAGGAGACTTGTGGCTGGGGTGCTGATGACACGGAGGAGACGTTGGTGCCTACTGCCCGAGAACTCGTTACTGTGATGGTTTGTGTTACGTGACAGGAGGATCCAGTAGTTGTGGTACTGGACACAGCGCTGGATGAACAAGCTTTCTCTGAGGTGAGGGATTTAGTTGTTCCCTCATCTATCTTGGGCTTTGCTTTCTTACTTGTGGGGCAGACTACAATGGGATCAGGAGTAAAAAGTTCAGTTATATCGTAAGAGACTGCAACAGGTCTTCGCGGACGGGCAGTTTTGTTCCGTTCTACTGTGCGACAACTCAGAGAACTAGAATTTGGTTTTGAGGCTGGTTTGGGAGTGCTACCGTCCGTTTTTCTGCTCTCCTCGACCTGATTACCTCTGCTCAGGGTCTTGACTGGTAAGACTGAGGTACTACGATGAGTATTGCCAGAGGGGTGGCTGCCTGACAGAACATGAGGTGAACTAACAGTGGCCTTCTGGGGAACCAAGGACGATAACAAAGAGCTTGATTTCTCACTCTTATTGTTTTCCTCACTTCTGTCTTCACGTGGCTTTGAAGGTGATTGTAACTCTATTAACTTCACAGTATGATTCTGAGAGGAATTTATATAGGCTTGCTTTGCCCCCGTTGATGCTCGTCTCTTTATACACGGTTTGGGTGACAACGATGCGCAGGATGACTGGGTGGGTTTAAATGTAGATGACAGTTCCAAGTAGGTTGATTGGCCACATGCTGGTTCCGTGCACAGATGGCTCTCTGTGGTTTTGGGTGACAGTTCCAAGACTGAAGAAGGCCCCGATGACGGCTGAGACACCAGTGAAGTGCTGAGTGAGTTGCCAACACTGGGCTTCAGTGTCTGTGAGTTTGCACCCTGAAGGCACAGTTTCTTGGCAACGTCGTCACAGTCCTCAAACTCCCTGTACCTCTTCTGAGATGAGTAATTCATGTCCACTGCTGGAGGCAAAAAAAAAAAAAAAAAAAGGGCATAAAAAATTTAATTTAATTACCCATACAATGTTATCCGTTACCAAGAGCAGTAGTATGTGGCATGTAAAACTAAAAGCTTCTCACATAAGTACTAACAGGTGACGCTAGCATTCATGTTTTCAGGTATTTAGCAACTTGTAAAGAGTACAAGTGCCCCAACCTTGAAATTAATTTCTGTGAACACTAGTGGTGAAAACACAAGTATAAGTAGTAAAGAGATAATTAAGGTTTATTTAAAGATTAAAGCTAATATTTCTATTTAAATTCTCATGTTCATTTAACCTTTTATTGTGGACTGCAGTGAAACATAAAACATTGCACTGTTACTGGAGATGATGCTTACACTCTGCCAGTGAGAAGTGTCAATCTGGGCATGTCAGACCAGTTTACAATTCCAGGAGTAGTAGTAGTAAGTACATGTAATTCACAAGCTGTGTACAAGTCAGTGACATTTCTACTGTATTCAAACTACAAGATGCAAACAATTTTCCAAACTCGTTGCCATTGCAGTGCCAACTAGGTTAAAGATTGCAGCCTTATGAGGAAGCCAAAATGGGCAAAATGGGTTGTTCAAATCCGCATGTAAGCAGTAGGAAAAAAAAAAGTTTGATATCTGAATTTAATGTTTTTAACTTCGAAAAGCAAAAACAAATAAACATAAATTCACCTTTACAGATCTGTCTTAAAATTGAGTAGTGTACTCATTTACTTTGACAATTACCTGGAATGAACTTTTCACTCGAAGGTGTTCGTTTATGCTGTTGGTCCTAAAAAAGACAAAAGGGGACATCCTTTTCAACATTTTCAACAGCAATAACAGTGCATAACATTATGCATCCCATGCACATTTAACCATGCCATATTTCCACATTGGCATGGTTACAAGAGACTACAAGTTAAACAAATATCAGTAACGTGACTAAACACCTGGCAAAAACTATTTAGTTTAAGACTTGCTACCTTGTGACTAACCAGCTGCTTTACCTGGCAAGGGGCTACAGGGCTGTACATGACGGGTAAAGTGGGACCACTACTCCTGTCAAATGAGTGGGTACTTGGAGAAGGCTGGTAGTCCCTCAGGGGCCACTGGCTGTTAACAGGATTCCAGTGCTCCGAGTCTGAGTGAGGTAGTGGACCAACATCTTGAGCAGCTCTGGTGTTGAGTACTGGTGTCATAGGGGGCCTGTGGAGCTGGACAGTTTGTATGGAGCTCCTCACGTCACTGGATTGAGCCTGACGGAATAAATGTTAACAGTCACAATTCAGCATCACATGACTCGTATACTACAGGTCATCAAAACATGATTTTTAACATATCTAGGTTTCACTAATGGTTATATTAAAAAAGAGAAAACAATACCTTGTTTGATTCTTGCCTTTGTGCTGTTGGATTTTTACTTCCTGAGTAAGGTAATGTGACCCTCGATTCAGTCGCTTGGTCTCTCCTGATGGGGGAGGATGGGGAGTGGTTGCTTAAATCCTTCATGAACTGAGGAGTTGCGGGATGAAAGTTAAAGGGAGGCGAGGGCTGTGGCCTATTAGCTGTAGTTCCACTGTTAGTCGGGCTGACTGGAATAAACCGTGGGCAGAAAGACCCTGGAGGTTGAGCAGGATGATGCAGAGGACCCAGTCTGATACTTGGCGTGGGATGAGGCCTGCTCACTGGGTAACCAATGTTAGTTGGGCTGCTCGGAACAAACCCTGAGTGGATTGGTCCCATGTGATGAGTAGGGTGCCGCGGTGGACCCAGTCTGTCTCTGTGGCACAGTTCGGGGCTTTGAAGTGGCAACATTCTCCTGGGTGGTGGGTGAGGAAGCTGGTTAGGGACCTGAGATGGCTTCATTGGAGTCTCCTGGATAAAAGAGCTGATATGGGGTAGGGAGCACTCTTGGAGTGCGAGGTCCTTCACTGAAAACATATAAGAAACATTTGTGCATTAAGGTCTGAAGTCTCTTAAAATATTTGGTGCCACTTAAAGCTCAAATGTGGACAGGACTGACGTGTCATGTTGTCATTTTGCAGCCAGCGCGGGCTAGAGATGTCACACAAACCAGGCCGCATATACGCCTACAAGTATTCTAGTTGTCCGTTAAGCGCCACAGGAAGACGAATGCCTACCAGCAAGAACGACGCTTTGAAGATTGTGACGAGCGCGGCTGCAGCAACAGCTCTGCCTCGACTCGTCAAAAAGAGGAAAATGTTTTCACATATAAAGTCCAAACAACATCCCGAGAATCGAGTCGGGACATTGTCCGTATTTGCCCTTACACACGTGTGACTACAACAGGAGATTGGTGTTCTCACATGTTAGAAATAGAGTTTTTGCACTAATATCAATAGGTCATTAAAATGTCTCAAAAATTACCAAACAACACAAAACTATAGGAGGGCAGTGCCACTCCAGTCTGCCTATAGTATCTGTACCTGTGATTTTTCTTTGTCACGACATGAAGATGTTTTTCTTGTTATACTATTTTAGCACAAACAGTTCCGTCACTGTTTTGGGATACATGCCTAATAATTTCTAAAGCATACTCAATAAATTACATAATTTTACTGTATATCTGTTTTGAATATGCTCCAGGTGGAAGGCATAAGATCCTGTTTTAATTAGAGCTGCAGTATGTTGCTTAACTAATGTAAATGACAACTACATGACAATGAAATCAGATTTCAACAAAGTCATTGTTTGCATTGCACGCATGCATTTGTTTTTGTTTTTAAACAGACTTAGGGGTGGTCGATGTGGTCAAAAATAATATTTATGTTGGGTATTTTCTGACTGATTCACAGCGGTTATGTTCTAAAGCACAAATAAAGTTGTCTCCACCTCCGCAAAACCTGGACTGCGGGTGCTTTTCATTATACACGTCTCCTCACCTCCCTCACTTCCTTCCTCGCGTCTCAGCCCTCCCAGCAAAGATATGAGTAAAAGACGCGAGGACGGACAAGCTGCAGCGAGTCAAACCTAGTGTTACGAATGTCCACAGAATTTATTTAAAAACTATTTTAAAACCTTACAGTATTCATTTAGATATGTAAATTGTTTAACACAGCCGATAATTACTGTTGTTGATTTTAATCATGATTCAATATTTCCTTTAAATCTTCTATTTTACGTACTTGTATGAATTTTTATGCATCAGTCTCATCATTATTTGTTATGATTGCTTAGATTATTTAATTGCATTATTTTTATATGCACAAAAATACTCTACATAGTGAGAACGTGTGCATGTTGATTGTATTGGAAATAAAAAAAACATAAAACAAAGTGCTGCTTTGTGCGACATTAAATTAGATTCACACACACACACACATTATATTGCATCTCACCATATAACTGTGTACTATTATATTGTCTGTAGATCCCTATACATGACACTAAAGCTGTGAGAATAAACTGTGTTTATAAAGAATGATTGAAATTTGAATATTGTCAATTAGCATTTGTACATATATAACTTATATATGCTTCATAGGAGCTGCAATGTTTATATTTAAAAAAAAAACATGTTTGTTTGGCGCAAGCATCCTTTTCATCATCATCATCGTTATTATAATAACAAAACGTATTATAACACAAATACAGTGTTATTCACCAAAACATCAACACCTGACTGCAGGATACAGGACATTTAATTACACCCACCTTTACTCCTCGGGGAAAAGTATTCTGAAAGTGTTCTGCAAGAAAAGCCAGAGAGGGGGAAACTTGAATCAAAGTTTTGTTGTCACCAAGACGACAATAATGCAATTTAACCATTTAAAGTAAGTGCAGTTTTCAAACCAGACGATGAAGAACCGACAACTCGTGGAACATGAGTCTTCCTATCGTGGCCGGAAAAACAACCACCTGACACCTGCTCGTCAATTTCTGCTTGGCTACGAGTTAACTTTTGACCTGCACGTTGTGTCTTTTTTTATACCACACCCACAAAACCCTCAATCCCAAAGAAACAAACAAGCGTTTAACAAAGCAACACGTTAACGCGGCGGTAAACGTGAGCAGTGTTTAGGCTGAAGACTAGAAAACAGCTACCTGACGCTAGCGAGGAAACTGTCATCGACTAACATGTTCACGTAGTTTTAACATCAGTGTTATTAGTTAGCGTTAAGTCATTTTAGAGCGTACATGGCGGTCTTCCTCTCAGCGTGTGGCTGACTGTACTGTAAAACTGCTAACGTGAACTAAAGTTAACCAATATTAACTGAATGTTTTCCAGCTGCTGTTTCAGGAAGTGCTGTTTAGCTAGCTAGCTAAGGCGCTTAATAACAGTAGCACCGGAGTGAAAACAAAGATTTGCTCACCGAGTGTTTCCTTGATTTTCTGTTGCTCTTCTCATTTTGGTGACTGTACAGTATGTCTCTAACCACAGACAAAAACAATGACGGACTCAGAGCTCCCATGCTAAAATCAGCTCATCAGTGTGGTCCTCTCCCGCCTGCAGCCGAATCTACCAACATTACACGAACTGCATTATGGGACTTGGAGTCCGACAGTAGTACAGTTTAGAGCAGGGGTTCTCAAACTGTTTGGGGCCAAGGACCCCCTTATAATCCTCATTTAAACATATGTTTACTGACATTTGTACTCCTAGATGCCCTAGGAATTGTTTATATTTTAAACTTTTCAACCTAAATACTTAAGGCGAGTTTCATAGAAATGAACTTTAAATTTGAATAAATAAATGTTAATACCATTTCTATACTTTTAAACACAGGGTCATTATTTTTTTTTGTTTTTTTTTTTTTTTTTTGTTTTTTTTTTTTTTTTTTCTTTTTTTTTTTTTTTTTTTTTTTTTTTATTTTTTTTTTTTTTTTTTCTTTTATTTTTTTTTTTTCTTTATTTTTTTTTTTTTTTTTTTCGTTTTTTTTTTTTTTTTTTTTTTTTTTTTTTGTTTATTATTATTTTTTTTTTTTTTTTTTTGTTTTTTTTTTTTTTTTTTTTTTTTTTTTTTATTTTTTTTTTTTTTTTTTTTTTTTTATTTTTTTTTTTTTTTTTTTTTTTTTTTTTTTTTTTTTGTTTATTCCGATTTATCATTTTTGACCTCAACAGGCCATATCTAATTTTCAAGTAACCAGATCTTAAAGCTTTCAGAAATATTGAACAGTAAGCAAAGACTGGCAAAGTCCTAATGAACACAGTTCATTTTTCAAGTTTCATGGCTAAAGCGCTTTGAGGGATTATATAAAACCAACAATTGAAAAATCAACACATTCTACACAGTGTCATGGCTTTCTTTTCGATATGGCTGATTTTAAATCAGTGGTTACTTACACTGACCAGAGGAAATCTTTCCCTGTTACGGGTTATCTGTTTGATATGGTCGGGCAAAGTTGTTTATGTAATTATGATAAAATGCTTTTTTTCCCGCCAGAATAAATAAAGCTAAATGTATATTTTGGCACCGTTTCCCATTTAATTTTTTATTATTAAATTTATCAATATTACTTTAATTATGCTGGTGATACAAGTGAGGCTGACCACCAATACACGCACTTTCAGACTACAAATGAACTGATCAGCTTAGAAAAACCTGGTCAGTAAGTAAATATGAATCAAAAGACTTTGACCATAAGCTAGACTTGATGTTGTAATTCCAATCACTATGTGGAAATTTTTTTATTTATGACAACTATACTGTAGAAACTAAAATTAAAATAAAATCATCCAGACACAAGCAGACACGAAAACATTAGATTTGAACATAGTTGTACGTGTATTACATCGGAGGTTTCAGGGAACATTTAACCAATGCAGAGGGAATTACATTTAAAAAAAGAAACATGGCAGTACTGTAAGACAAAATGGGATATTTCAAACCAAATCCCGACTGTGAGGCCAGCTGGAGGCATTTAGAGTAGGAACAGGAGCTGGAGGCACATAAATACTAAGACACCAAGAGGCAAAGACAGACCAAAGGCAATCATACAGAGTAACAAAGATAATTGTTAAATTCAGACCTTTTATCTTTGATTAATCGTGCTTCACAACAGTAGCCTATTGCGAAAATATAATAATGGATTTATCACTTGCAATACTGACAGCAATACAGTGTTTGGTAATGTTCAAATAAAACTAAACGTGATGATACATAAAGAGGAAAATACAAATTGTCAGACACAACACAGACATATACAACATACGAGGACACTGCACAAATACCATTCATAGACAGAGAAAGTAAGAGAAAAGGACTGTTTAGCTGTCCTAACTGCTCTCAAGAGATTGCAAAATTACATCTTTTAGTGGAATGCATCAGTTCTCTGAAAAGTGAGACAGAAAATATCCACTGCAGGGGTCCCTTTAATGACCAAAAAGTGGTCAAAAGACAAAAGTCTTATACATTATAATAGACTACAATATGTCATAATGAAGTCAGTATGATCAGACACACATAGGTATAACTTCCTTACTACCACCAGTGCATTTGAAAAACAGTATTTCACATAGACATACAGTATAAACACGGGCAAACAGAGGCCACAACAAGAGGAGTCCTGTCTCCACTCTGAATTGTGTTGTCAACCTTAGATGTGTGTGTGTAGCACCAAGACAAATACAGTAGCCTGAAATTGTATAACAGACTGTGGCAGAGAGACCACAGCCTGGAAGTTAACATCCCAGGCAGTGGACAGCATAGCTAAGACTTTTGTCTTTCTCAAAACAAAAACTATATTATTTGTTTTAAGTGGCAATGTTTTAAGTATTAAAAAGGGCTATTACTTAAATATTCAAGTACAGGATAAGAAGATGAAACCTGCCTTTATCAACAATATTATCCCTTTCAGTTGATTGATACCTTCTCAAAGGTTGGGATATTATTGGACCATTTTAGCTAAAATTATTTACAATCTCTTGAGAGCTGTGGCTCCCCTGGTCCTAATGTATCCCAATTGTTCCCCCTCTACTATCCCTGTACTGTGCAAGTAGAGTGAGGTTGCCTTTGACAGCAATCTACGGTGTACTCTTCACGCATTACAATCCAAAATAAATTAGGATTTAGGAAAAACACTAATCTGAGGCCAACTGTTAGGAACAACCTATACTGTCATACACATAGAGGGCTTTTCTGTTGCTTTACTTCTTGGCCTTTCCCTGAGCAGCCACAGCCTCCATTGCTTTGCGTACAGTCTCCTCGTCTCCCAGGAACTGCATCGGCTTCAGGGGCTTCAGGTTCTTGTCGAGCTCGTAGAGGATGGGGATGCCTGTTGGCAGGTTCAGTTCCATGATGGCTTCATCTGACATTCCTACAGGTGGCAGCACATACAAACAGAGCGGTTATGGATAAGTTAGGGAGTTTGCAGGTTGTTGTTTTTCATTAAATATGTTATCACTGATTCACTTTGACTGTTTGTGTTTATATACTGTATGCATTCACTATCCTTAACAGGACAACATCTGTGTGACAGAGTTTAAGTAAACATTGTGACAAAGGGGAAAAAAGTACTTAAAAGGTTTAAATCTAAACATGCAACATGTGGTTCTTTTTCTTATATTCTCCAATTTTAAAAATGTGAAGCCATTACACATGAAAAACATGAAAACATTTTGTCAATTAAAATGTGCATTATACCTTACGTACTGACATAGCGCCTTTTTCTCTATATTTTGCGGAACCTCAATAGCAGTAGCTACTAGTCTTAAGTCTCCCTCGCTAGGCTAACTATGGATTCCACATCCAAAAAAATAATGTCTCTTTTGATTGTAAAGGTTGCTGACCCCTGGCCTAAAAGAATTAAGCAAAGCTTTGCACGTAAACAGCACCACCCACCCTCCAGGTGCTTAACAATCCCCCTCAGACTGTTTCCATGGGCAGCAATGAGCACCCTCTTTCCCTGTTTGATCTGAGGGGCGATCTCCTCGTTCCAGTACGGCAGTGCCCGTGCAATGGTGTCCTTCAGGCTTTCACAGGAAGGAAGCTGGTCCTCAGTCAGGTCTGCATAGCGACGATCCTGCAAGGAAGACAATCTCAATATGTAAAATACATAATAGACCAGAAGACTAACAGCAAAGAGATAAATAAATAGTTTAACTGTCTTTAATCCTCTTCCGCAGAGACTTATTGTACACTTATTTGAGAATAGAAAGCGCCTGAATGCAAGCCAGCATTTTGTGTGAGTGATGGTGAATATAAATGAATTTAAGTGAATGAGGAGTAAAGCTGTCTATGAGGCTCCTTGTGTCACTTTTAGAGCAATATGGTGACATGTTGTTTTTGTCTTCCACAGGCATGAAAGAATCAGCTATCTCTTTACCTTTTTTTTTTTTTTTACTTGTCTAACTTCTGAACAGTTTATTTCCACCTTGACTGAACTTTGAACTTCAACCTCATTCATGCCAGTCATATATTAACTCACCTCGGACATACTATTAGGTAATAACACTTGGGCACATGTTACCAAATAGTCAGGGACTATATCCTCAGTGCGTGATATGGCTGTCAGATTAGATTTACACTGTTGTATGTGTAAAATATTTGGGTATTCAAGCTGACTGTGCTGTGAACAAAAAGACTGAGACACATGACCTTAAATCCACCATTTTCACTCTAATCATTTCTGCTGATTTCAGCTGATTATAGGGCCCGACTGCATCGATCAGCTCTAGTCATGCCTCTTCTTTGTTATGCCTGTGTGCAGTCAGTTCGTCAATATGTACAAAAGCATTTCTTTCCTCACAGTCCAACAAAGCTCCTTGGTTGTGTGTATGCACTGTAGATATCATATCTTACCTTGCTAATGATAGTATAGTAGTCATGGTCTGGGCCCATGGAGGGAGGAGGGATATCAAACGAGCGCCTCCAGATCTTCACCTGAGCCTCTCCGTGCTTGGCGGCCGTCTCCGCCTTGTTTAGCCCTGTCAGGCCTCCGTAGTGGCGCTCATTGAGACGCCAGGTCCGATACACTGGCACCCACATCTGGTCAATGCCGTCCAGGACCAGCCACAGTGTCCTGATGGCCCGCTTCAGCACAGAGGTGTAGCAGATGTCAAACTCAAAGCCAGCATCTGTAAGAGTGAGAGGAGTTTATTAAAGCTGTTAAATTCCACTTGGATTACCCTGGGTGACTGGTGTTCTATCAGCTTTGTTAGTTATAATCCAGCCTCAATAATTGCCTTCGGGGAATAACATTATAAATTATATCATGAGGAGAGAAAGAAAAAGCAACTCAGTCTCAAACCTAACTGCAAATACAAGATGTTATATGGCTACACAGAACAACTCGTAGCCATGAACCATTTCTCATAGCTGAAGGGAATGTCTTCATTGTGCTTATTTGTACAACTAACAGTGCAAAACCTAAAGATATTCAATTTACTGTCAAAGAATGACAAATGATCACATTTGAAAGGACGACGACAGAGAATGTTTGTGCTTGAAAAATATTAAAACAATTAACCAATTAACAAAATAGCTGCTGATTTATGTTCTTTGAATGACATAATAAATCCACGAATGGTTGCC